AAATGTTGTAGAGACATTTGGCTGTATTGTTTCAACTCTTTAGCTATTCTTTTTGTGACAGATGTTCTTCCTGAAATTTATTTCAGTTACTCACGAATGACAACCGCACAAAAGCTATATGAGTTTTGCAATAACTTCTGTTTAATTTATTACGTGTGGTGAGTCAAGGTAATGCAATTCCGCTTTTGCTATAATATTTAACCATCGATATTGCATCTATTTTAGTCATGAAAAAAAGCTGTTTGAGGTACAGAAAAAAGGAAGAGAAATGTTTTGCAATTACCAAAATATTTCAAAGGGCCTTTTTTATTGAGCATTTTATTTGATGCAGTCTCACTTCATTAACTGTAATATATTTTCTAGTGTGGAAGTTTTGCATCTACTAGAGCATGTTCTCGCGGTGTTATTGTGATAGCTTGTCCAAATAGATGCTGAAAGCTTTGTGGCTCGAATCCCGGCAAGTGCACGGTTGACTGTCCATATTTCTTGCTTCGAAAAACGTTAAGATCTCTTCAGCAGCTTCTGAATTAAAATCTAGTGGTCGATAGTGCTTCACTACCTGGGTTTGATCGACTGGGTCTTATGCTTCTTTCCAATCGCCTTTTAAGTGTTGGATAATGTATTAAGTTATAGCATTTCCCGGTGCATGCTCTCGTGACACTGGAAGGTGTGTGCCTCGGATCATCGAGGTTACAGTTGGATTTTTCGTATTTCTGACTTTTTATACAGTGACTGGATAAATAAACATTGGTTAAGAATTAATCAGATGTTTAGTTACTGAATTTTAACGTTAATTATTGCATACATTGTATATTGTTTTGTATTAATTTATTTAGTTCTCTAAGTTACTGAGTAAGAGCAGGACTATACCATTGTTGGAAATTTATTACTGACATAGAAATTAACAAGAAATAATACATAAAGAAGTAAAAGAAAATTAAAATATTTATTATAGTTTACAACTTATGAGAGGAGTACAAAATTAATCAACATTTTAAACTTTCTTTAAACTGGAACACTATTTACGATTTCAGTAATATTCGGTAATTAATGTGAATTATTTCAGTGTATTCATCATTTTTTAAAAGGATGTCTAATTAAACTTGTCCAGATTGATACTGGAAGTAATAAGCTAGCTATTCGTTAAGTTATCTTGATATTACGTTCTTGCATTCTTAAATACAAGTTAAATGTCTATTCATTTTGACAGGGTGGATTGCAAAGAACAGCATTAAATAAAATGCGACAGCATTTAATAAAACAACGTAGAACAAAACTTCAGAAACATTGGTGTGAACTAAAAATTTCATACACTGACAGTTAATGTTTTGTTCAAAGGACCTTAGAGTACGGAAATTAGCCTGAAAAATGTAATACATATTTCTATCATATATATACATCTGTTTTGTAATATATGTGTATTATATATTTAATTTTAAATTCAATTAATTTATAAAGGAGTAAAAGATGAAGTAAACATAATAAATCAAATTTCTAAATTCGATTTGTTGCGTTTACGAACGTTTTATAAAAATTTACAGTTTTTTCATTGTGTACTTATTGTGATTCTCCTTCTTCGAAGATAACGCTTCCTAATTTTAACAATATATATTAAGGGGCAGTGGCAGAAATTGAATAAAGAACACTCTGAATGCTTACGGTTACGATTTTGAAATTAATACTTGAGAATTATTTTTGTTAAAGAAAGAAAATCACTCCAAATTAAAGGAAATGTGGTCATTTAAAAACGTTACATTAGAGCAGTTATGTAATAGCTATAGAATAATAAATCGTGCTTAAAACACAACCGATAACTATGTAGAGACATTAGGTTATTTCGAAGCAGGAAAGATGAAAAATGAGCAACGCCTTCACCGGGAATCGAACCACGTACCTGTGGAATATGCGCCTAACGTGCAGCCGACTACACCACGAAGGCACGCTAAGAAGGCGGGAGAGATATCTTATAACTTTCATTAGCATATATCCGTAGAAATATGGAATATTGTCTTTCAGAATATTACTCCATGCTGTCTAATTTACTAGTCGCAAATCATTTACAGTTTTTATTGGAGGATACGGTTAAAAAATATCATTTCCAACCAGCTGTTATATGCTGAATTGACTTGAAATCTCGTAAATGTACAGGCCAAGACGACTGACGAATGGTCTGCAGATACACGACCGATATGTTGCAGAAAACATCCTCCAGCTGAAATAAAGCATTTCTTACTTCAAGCAGGAGTTCTGTTTAAATATGGCAAAGCACAAAAAGACAATCTGTTTAACGAAAGGAATGCCATCCTGGATGACATTTTTAGGCAAAACTGGCTCGTATTCGCTTTACACACGGGGAAAACCAACTATGCAGCCAGCCGTTCGCCTAGTTCGAATGTAGTCTTTAACCTGTCGGCCACTATAGTGGGTCTGCTTCATGACAGAAAGGCAGTAATGCTGACTTACTGAAAGTGTTTTTGTAGTGTTCTCCACTTTATCACTGGAACTAGTATTATGGCTGTTCAGTAATGTTCCTCATAGGCCGTAGTGTGTGGTCCGCTCTGGCGACAATTCCAAGGGGATAAATATGTACACAGATCAAGGGGAACTAGTATTATAGTTGACTACTAGTCATGATTGGTATCTGGCCGGAAACCTGGTAATCTTTTCTGTGCTGTCACACTCGTGATGAAATTTGACGATCTCCATTTCTTCATCAGACATGTTAAGCTATCAGTTTCCAGATTTGACATTTTGTGTCTAAACAGTTTACTACATTCATTTCCCCAACGAGTCTGCTGATTATAACCATTGCTGCTAGCCCTGAGAGCGGCAACAGAAATGCTATTAATCTCACTTGTGATCTTGGAAAAAAGCGGTTCGGTCTGTTCTACTTAGATCTCTAATTCTGCGTAGCTATGCTTTCTTTCGCCTATCGAAGTATATACTAGTTTGTACTTTCGCTTCATTTGCCCGAATCAGTTTACGATTTTACGTTTGAGAAATTAGAAATGTTAATATATCGCAGCCGAACCTGAATCTTTGTTTGCAAGAACTGTAAATGAAGGGGCTGTGGGTTATGGTTACTGTAAATGGTCTAAATTCTGTATTACTTCTTGACTCGAAAATTTGCTTAAGATCTTTATTAAAGTTTTCATCACGCATTTTGCTGTTCTATTGACATACCATAAAAATATACTATTTGAATATAGAAATACCTCTTTGTCTATTGTTCTGTTTTCGTTTTTCGCCAATGAATATTAGGCAATCTGAAACAGCTGATTTTGCCACTTTAATGTACAAACGTTCTCCCCCTTTCAATCTGCTCAGATGCACTTCTGTTTTTAGAAGAGAAAGACGCATGAAGCTCATGCTTGGTTTTGTGCATCGACAACTTATTAGTAAGAAAACATATAATAAATTGTAACGTGGAAAATTCTCTATTCTAAATTCTTCATAAAGGCATATTTATTGCTCACAAATTAAAACTATTTATAAAATGCGTAAAACTTAATATCATTATAATTTAATTTGGAATTAAATTAAATTATGTAATAAATATTTTAACGATCTTTTTGGGATACATATTTTTAAAAAAAATATCTATTTACATGTTATTAAAAATTTATTCAGTTGTTATATCTATCAGCCAGCACATTAAAATCCTCATACATATACAAATTTGTCGGCATACAATCAAAAGACGATACGTACACAGCATTGGAGCTTTGACAGACCGTATTTAGTTTCTATTCTGTATAGTTAAAGCAAAGCATGTGGCATTAGCCTAATCATTATGACAATAAGCCTAAGTAAGGAATCTCCAAAGCAGTGACGCTGATAAGCGTACGCTCCGCAGCTTCTCAAAGATGGTCCGAAACAGAGACACTTGCAAGTTCTTTCTGTATTATAAATAGTCTGAAAAATGTAACATTTTGAGCTTTTAGCCAGACAAGGACTAACCTTGCTTCATTGAAGCCAGGGATCAGCCTAGGTTGAGAATCTTTTCTCATCCGTATCTTTAGAAAGGGATACTCTGGCTGATGATACCCATGATTTAATCGTAATTATAGGTCTAATGTGTATGAACACACAATTGATCGCATGATATCGTGTGTAAATCTTCACTGTCAAAAATCCATTTATGTGCCTATACTCACAGATGTTTACTATCTTGAACACCCTTGCAATTAGTACTTATTGTCGATATTCGAATTTCGATGACTGGAAAGACTGGTAGGGAGGCTTGATGTTTTCTGATAGCTGACTCGTATCTCTAAACATTACGACTGGCCATATAATTGACTTTTATCCTGACTACACCCCTTGCCGGAGAGCATGTTTTAATGTAATAATACCTCGCTTTGCATCGCGAAATCTTTTCAGGAATGATTTCCGAAATATGGCATAGGAATCCTTTTATTGCTATAATCCGTAAATCCACAAAACAAGAATCTGGTCCATCGTTTCTGTTCTGAGTCGAGGAAAGAGTTACGAGCAGCAATTTGTCTACCATGTAACTTCGAAGACTTGAAGGATATTTATTCTGTTAGAAAAATGACGTCTGCATGGAGTTCATTTTAGCGGCAAGAAAACTGGAGTCTGTGTTTCATGTGTTTTATTGAGGGAAAGAGCTTTGAAATTTATGAAGAGGAAACTGTAAGATTTAATTAGTACTTTAAAATAGATAAATAAATAAATTTCAGGAACATAGGGATAGTATCTTATGTTTGTTCGAGTAGTTTAAAGTTCTAAAAGAGATATTTATTTATTAATTTGTCTATTGTACTTATTAAGATGAATGCCATATTGCGAATTATTTTATTATTGCTTAATATTTTGTCAACAAGCGAAAGCCTATTAATTTTAAAATGAATGCGAATTATGAATACAGTTAAAACTTCTTAATTTCGTTACAAATATATATTTGTAGGAATTATTCCATGTATTCTAATAATATTTACTGTGCTTTTTTTTTTTTTTTTTTTTTTTTTTTTTGGCAGACAATTGGAGCAGCATTCATTCTAAAAAGCTGGGGTCATTATAACATAGCCATATGGGTAAGAAATATAAAACGTTTTCCTTTATCTGCCTTGTTTAGTTCCCTTTTTACCTTTGTTTTATTTAAACTTTAAAAGTCTGTTAAGTGATATATGATTTTATGCACTTTATCATTGTTTAAGATAAAAATTAAACACTTTTTATTCTTAAAAACTGAGCTTTTTTTTAATTTGTTTATTTATTTCAGACTTTCAGTTTCGTGTCTGTCATTGCGATAGTAATAATTACGTATTTAACTTTGATCTAATTTATTTATATTTTTGTTGATAATTTTAATTTTTATGAAATTTATGGAAGAAAAATTAGCAGCTAAGAGATACATTGCAATGTTTATTTATTTTAACTCATTTGAGTCAATATTACAATATTACTGTAATACAGGTTGCACAACAATGCATTTTATAGTATAATTTGTCAGGAGATGTATGTTTCTTCACTTGCTTCGGGAACATACTGTATCCTGAATAAGAACAGGGAATTTACTAAAGTTCTGTTCCAGATTGTGTGGAATAGACAACACAAGCAGGAAGAGTATACTAAACCCTTTATTCTCTATTACTTTACAGGTACGAGACCAACCACTTGTGGTCTGAACGTAAAAATATAAAACTACTAACTAAAACTCTAACTTTGAATTAGTATACAAATGCCTGGCACTAAGACTCTCTCTCCTTTATTTAAAAGACTACGTATGTAGTACGCCGAGCTGCTGAAACTACAATACGTTTTCAGATATCAAGAAGACTAAACCTCTTGGCCTTAAAGGCAAACAGCAACCGAGTGAAAACTCGTAAGACTGCAGTGGCAAGCGGCTCGCTTCCTAAATCTCCTTCTCTCTTTAACTCTTGGCAAAACGCCACAACTTAAATACTTGGGCGTTAGCGAGACAATTTGCATAAACAAGTTAAAGCATTTAATTCTGGCCGGAAATAGAAAATAAGAAGTGATAGTACAGTTTTAACGTTAATAATAAAATAAACGTTAGTAAAGGATAATCGGTTAGGATCCTTACAAATTTACAATTAATTATATCGGCCAAAAAACTCAATATGAAAATTGTAGAGATGGAATGAGAAATTAAAATGTTTCACGAGATTACGAGATTGGCTAATACAAATTCCTTTTGATTTTTTAAAACATCCGAAATATCGATATCATGTTACATATTGCTGTGCATAAAACTAAAGCACCAAGAAAGGCTTGCGTTCCAACAAAGATTTTTACTGTAGAGAATATGTACGATGTAATATGACAAGCATGAATGATTAAAAGCTCAATAACTGTAAATCCCCTCCAACTGATCTCACACGGCGTATTAATTACGGATACAGAGTTTGAATGGCTGTCTGTGGAAAATCATTCCAGGCTGCCTGAATAGCATCCACAATTCGTCAACTGTAAATGCGCATGTTGATATGAGAGCCAACCATCTAGCAATCACATCCCGTACGTTTTTAGGCCCCGCAGGCCACAGAAGAGGTGAAATTTAATAATAGCACACAAAGAAAGTTAATATATGCAACATGACTAATAACATTTCTCCTTTAGAATCTGTGTTTAGAATGATTCTGCAGCAATGTTGAAACTTTTAGTTCCAACGTATCACGAACGTAGCGATGACTGTTCGTAGTGTCTAAGACTGGTAGAAAGCGACATCGGGAATGTGTGGTACCACACACCAATGGCGCTGACGGAAGAGCAACTAAGATATTCTTCAATACTGCTTTCGAAAGAGTGCTCCGCATGATATTGTTACAGATTTTGTACATAAATAGATGATTTTAGTGCAATTATATGTGAAATCGTCGTATTTTTCTGTATAATGTAATATGAAAATCTAGAAGGAAGATGTTGTGCCGGAAAAGTAAGAATACAGGGGTAAGTCTTTAACAGTGAGTGAATGACAATCGCACTGATTTAGCGAGATATCGCCAAGCTGGCAACGATTTTGGCGAGTCATTTTTATTGCCAAAACTTGGTCGTCAAATTTGGCGACCATTTGGAAACATTTTGATCTGGTCCCTGTATAACTGTAATGGATATTGTAGCTGAATAACTGTAATTGATGCTTTATGTAACTGTAACCGTATTCGGCCTTCATATGCCTAACGGCAATTTCGAGAAGCAGAAAGTACTACAAATCTCTCGGCGGCCGGGTGAAAACTTTATAAGACCGGAGAGAGCATGTGCTCTCAGTTGTTAGTTCAACGAGAGTTCGGAGTACTGATATACTTCTGGATTAGATACACTTTGCACTGCGTTGTGTTTAACGTTCTGGTAGTTTGAAGTGTAACTACCGATTGTACTCTGTGCTACTGTGAAGAGTTGTACAACTATTTTTGTGGAAAGTTCCAGAACTGTAAGGTTCTATTTTTGGTAAAATAAATTTTATCAACCTATTATCGGATCTGATTCAACCTATTACAAATCCATACGCACGCAACAATATTAGCAATCAAAGGTTCAGTTGTCATGGATCCACAGACTACACTTAGATCGCCAAAGAAGATGATATAATCCCACTCACAGCCTAACTGCCTTTGTTTGGTATACCTTTATAGTATCTTGTCCATTGTGCGAGGGCAGCTGCAATCGAAAAATGAACGCCAAGCTACATGTCGCTTGGACAGTAGTCGTCGATGGATAATGCTAACAGACAACGCTGCTAGGTATGTCTCTGTCCACCATTGTCCATTGCTGTATTAATGTTGTAGAAATTACTGCCCTATCAGAGTACCAATATGCACTGCAATTTTGTGGTACGATTAACCACAGTGAGTTGGCCGTACCATTCTTTACCCTTTAAGTTTGTACAGTTGTTCATAATGTATCTCACTTTGCATTGAGACATGCTTACGTATTGTCAGTGCAATAACAGGACAGAAAGAAATGGGCGGGACACCAGAACTTAACTGGTGTAGTCCCAGCATATTTACTCTAATTTCCGTGCGCAATTTTCATGAACACCCAAGGGTACGGATGAGTTCACCCACACATTTTCTACCACAAACCTCTCGAGAGGACTTTCGGTTTGCCAGTATATTAACTGCTTTCGTTGCTGCACATACACTATGCACTGAACAATCATCAGACCTTCTTCGGGATTCGAACTCAAGCCTAACGATACGACAGTTAGCATCGCTAACCAGTATACCGATTAGGGAGACTGACAGTGTAACAAAAAGGACAGGTAGAAGCTAAGCCAGCACTTCTATAGAGCGTCCGCCGATAACATCGCGGCAAAAACATCGCGGACGAAAACGTCGCGGAGAAAACAACGCAAGGCGAAAACGTCGTGCTACAAAACATCGTGGGAGAAAACATCGCAAAGAGAAAACATCGCAGTTCTAAAACATCGTGGTACAAAACATCGTCGTCGAAAATAAAGCGGTCCAAAAACTTCGCAGTTTAAAAATATCGTCGTCGAAAATATCGTGGTAAAAAATAAAGTATCTACAAATCATCGCATGACGATAACATCGCAGACATGCTTTTTTTTCAGGCTTTAATAACTGTAAATGGATATTCCCATAATGATTTGTGAGCGCAAGATGTAAAGAAGAATAATTTTTACTTTCATATTTTTTATTAGTCCAAAAGGATTTGAATCCCGAAGGACTATTAGTTTCGTTTTTGGCATTTTGCGTCGGACTCATAAATGTCGGTTCACTTTTCAAACTGTTGCCACAAAATGTTAGAGTCCTGCATTATATTTGAAGAAATTAAATAATGAAAAATCTGCATAAATGTATGTATATTTCTCGTATTGTGATAAAACAACGGTACATAGAGTCATCGAATTTTGAATAACGTAATCCTCCAACGAATATGAGCATGTGGAAGACCAAATTTGAAATTTGAAATTTGTTTTATGATCGATTTCCTATTTTTTAAAACTTTGACGAATTTTTGATTAACAAACTCAAGGATTTCAAAGCGAGCAATGGCAACGTTGTGCAGAAAAAACATTTTTATCTCCAGCGCGTGAGTCTCTGTATCGGAAATTCTAAAGATATGCTCGTTTTAAAACTATTTTGCGATATTGCTGTTGCACTGGATCTTATGGTTTAAGTGCGAGGAACATGATATTTAATAAAGAAAGGTAACACACAAAATGTTAAAAAACGCCCCTTTGGACGTAATTTAAAATCTGAAACATTTCAGATTTTTTTTTTAAATATTAAATTTTTGCTGAGAAAATAAGAAAACTTAAGCATAGAAAATTAACGCAACTTATAGCACTTAATAGAATTTTAAATCGACATAGTTAACTAACAAAGACCATTAATAAATCATTTTTATAAAGATTTTACAGGTAATTTTTCATAAAAAGTATAATCTATTAAGTTGCATTTAATTTTCCATGCTCGAGTTTCCTTCTTATTTTTTCAGCAAAAATTTATTGAAAATTAAAATTATCCTTCCTTACATCACTTGCGCTCACAAATCATTATGGAAATATCCATTTACAGTTATTAAAGCATGTCTGCGATGTTATCGTCATGCGATGATTTGTAGATACTTTATTTTTTACCACGATATTTTCGACGGCGATGTTTTTAAACTGCGAAGTTTTTGAACCGCTTTATTTTCGACGACGATGTTTTGTACCACGATGTTTTAGAACTGCGATGTTTTCTCTTTTTGCGATGTTTTCTCCCACGATGTTTTGTAGCACGACGTTTTCGCCTTGCGTTGTTTTCTCCGCGACGTTTTCGTCCGCGATGTTTTCGGCTGTAACCCTTCTATAGTACCATGGGTGATTGAAGTATTGCTTTATCTAGCTAACTGTTAAGCTTTCGCTCCAATGGTGAATTCCGAGAGAGAAAATTCCGGAGATCGGTCTGAGGGTTTCCATCACAATTCTCCTACCACCAAACACTAGAGAGGATTTCGCCTCGCCGTGTGTTTTGCGCGCTTCCTTGCCGCACAGACACTATAGGCTTGTAACTATCCATGTCTTCTCCGATATTCGAGCCGGGCGCTTCGGTTCGACAGT